GGTTGAGTAATGAGGCAGCATGGGGTACCCCCCCAGTGAGGTTGACTGGGAGGGTTAAAGACCGGTAATATAGTCTACGTGATAACAGCTAGTGAGGAAATGTCCGAAGATAACCAAGGATCAGATGTCGTGGGACAGGTTGACTGGCCAACACAATGACAGTTTGCCATGATAAAACAGACCTGGTATATAAGCGAGCCCTACCCACTTATCGATGGGAAACACTGAATTCAGAACCATTCGAGTGTCACACATTAACTTCAAGATGTTACTAAGTGATGTATTGGAACAAAAGATAGAATATGGAATAATGAATAGCAAAATGGGAATAATATCTGTTTTGAAATAATTGTGTTTGAACCGTATTTTGGAGACTTTGGAAGCCATGAAGTGTGCTTCTTCAACTAGCTTTCTTGTACCTGGTGGGTTATGATTCAACTATTCTGACCTTCGACTATTTTTTGTCGAATGTGGCCTTAAGGTTAAGGATTGAGATGACTGCAACAACCTGTCAATGCATTCCACGTGTTGACCACTGTTGCCATGATGTTATCCTTGCTGTGACGGTTCGTTACCTTCTGGTAACGGTTCTGTCACGATCCCTTTTATGTGCATTGGTCTTCGATTCACGGGGATCGTTCTGCTCCTTAGTCTGAGAGTTCAATTAATTCAATTTAGGCTCAGGCAGTCTGGGACTATTCTGCATTCTTAGACTTGTTCGCTAATATATTCATCGGCCATAGCAAGACCCCGGGGGCGCCTGGCGATGTGCTCGGGTGGCAGCGACCGGGTATCTACCGGATTTCCCTCGTCATTGTCGATGATGTGTCGTGTTGTGCTGACACCAGTGACTCGCACCTGGAGCCCGCGCCTCGCTTCCCCCGTTCCTCTCCCCTACGTCCCCCGCCTGTCCCCCGTCCAATCCCTGTCCGTATTAAATAAATAAATAAATGTTTATTTAGGTAAGGTACATACATACAAGAGATTTTACAAAGTTTGTTGGATTAACAGATAGAGCTAGTACATACAATGCCTAAAGCCACTATTACGCAAAGCGTTTCGGGCAGGAAAAACATTAATGACTAAAGCTTAATACTAACACGTATTCTATCGTCGTGGTCTGTCACGTGCAAATCCAGTTATTTTGTTTATTGTAATTTATTTTTGGGGGTAAACGGTGGAGTAACGTCTCATAGGGCGCTGAGCGGTCTTGCCCAGGGATACCTCTTTGAGTGAAACAAGGCTACTCCTGGGGGGATGGCACCTCAGAAACTGTCCCGGGCGGGACAGAAATTGTTATGCACGTTTTCTTTCACCTAATTCGTCTGTTCACCTAGTGGTAAATAGGTAACCGGGAGTTAGGCAACTGCTTTGAAGCTACATCCTGGGAAAGGTGAGTAGTTCGACCTTGAGGAGACCTCTATAGTACATATATATACACAGTATATAAAGTACATATATATACAGGCGTCTCCTCCCCGACAAGTTGAATTAATGTTACGTACCCTTATAAGATACGTAAGTGAATATATTAATATGTACATTTATAATTGTATGTAAATTACAAGCATGTATATTGTTATACTTATATGTTCTATGCAAATGCACATTCATGTTACAGTGTTGGCGTTAGGCCCAGCGTATCGTGGGAATGATTGTTTATTTCTTTGTGTGATCAGTTTTCCCACGGGAACTAATGATTTATATGTGATCATCAGTGGGTAACAGAGTGAAATAATAATTGAGTGAACTGTATCTGGCAAATTGTCGTGGGATCGTCCGTTGCTGGGGTGTGCATGCCATTATGCTATTCTGTATGCATATTTTAATTACTATGTAAAGAAACACGTACTTTTGTTGTCTATATCAATATGTACTAATTATTCATTAAGTTAGTTTAAGATTACTCTTGTCACAATGTAGTGCTCCATTGTTGAAATATTAATAATTGTAACTTTGGCAATTTATTCGCGGGGCAAGGCAATGTGTTTTTTGACTCTCATATTGGAGTTCAGTAGCTGAGCAGAAACCGGGGAGATAACACTTGTTGGAGTTAAGTCATTCTTTTATTCTAGCCATATAATTATTCTTAGTATTGATTTAATGTCTGGAAGTTACAGTGATATTTTTAATGTGATATATTGTGACCATATAATCATCTGTTTGCCTTTGAGATTTATTTAATATAAATTATATATATATACTTAGTATCTTTATTCTTCAGTCCTATGAAGATTCTATTTTATGCTCATTACCCATTAAGGGGTTATACTGGTGATTCGCTATTGAGAACAGCAGTTGTGTCGTATCCCTAGACTTATTAAAGTTTGGCTGCTGTAGGATCACGAGCCGTAACGTACGATAGGTAACAAAGAGTTATGGGGGCCTGTGCCGGGAAATATTGTCCCATTTTTAACTTAACTATGCTAATCTAACCTTGCCTTCCTAGGTACCAGTGTCAAGTGTCTCTGTGTGTTTCTTAAGAACTATTCCATGTGCCAAGCAAGCCTTCCTGTGTGTCAAGTAACAACGTTTCACGATTTTGAGGTAAGTCATCCTATATATTTTGTTTGTGCAGTGAGGCCAAGCGAATTTTCAGTGTGGTGACAATTTTACAGTGAAGTGTAGTGCAGTGCCATTGTGTTAATTAATTTTGTGAATCAAGTGCCAAGTGTTAGTAACGATGGAGGAGAAAGTTGCAGCGTTGGTGGCTCACCCAGACTTTGAAGGGATTCAGAACCTTAAAAAGACTGAGTTAATACAAATGGCAAATCATTTGGATTTGACCGCCAGCAATAGAATGGTTAAAGCCCAAATATTGAAAGTCATTGTGACGCATTTTGTTGAGAATGGGGATTTAGATGAAGAAATTCTAGAAGAGTTAAGAGAGGAGTCGAGTGATCAGATGACGTTAAAGCGTCTTGAGTTAGAAGCGCAAATAGCCCATGCTAAGCTTGAAGCTCAAAAGGAACAGCAAATATTAGAGGCTGAAGCTCGTCAAAGAGAGATTGAAGCTCAACAGCAACAGCAAATATTAGAGGCTGAAGCTCAGCAAAGGGAGCTGGAGACTAGGCGTTTAGAAATTGCGGCACAAAACCAGAGAGGTTTAATTGAGTTGCAACTTGAAGCCACAAAGAAGCAACAATTAGAGATTCAACAACAAATGGCTGACACTAACTTCAGGCTTGAATCACAGCGTATGGCAGCTGGGCATGGAAATACTAGTAATGTTTCAACAAATAGTGATAATAATCCCATCAGGATGAATAAGTATATAGAGTTGCCCAAGTTCAATGAGGAAGATCCTGAGGTTTTCTTTGCACATTTTAATAAAATTGCCATCAGTATGAACTGGCCAAGGGATCAGTGGGTAGCCATTATGCAGTCTCAATTCAAGGGGCGTAGTCAGGAGGTTTTCACATCCCTCCCTGACGCTCATAGTTTTGATTATGACTTTGTAAAGAAAAGCATCCTCAATGCATACCAACTAAATCCAGAGGCACACAGGCAAAAGTTCAGGAACCTAAGGAGAATCAAGGATCAGACAATAGCCGATTTTACTCGTCAGAAGACGAATTTTTGCAACAGATGGTTAAAGTCACTTGCAGTCACTGATTTTGATGCTCTAAAGAATCTTCTCATAATGGAAGAAGTATTGTCCTGTCTTCCAGACCAGTTGTCTACTTTTATGGCAGAACAAAAGAATGTAACCGATATTGATGAGCTGTCAAAGCTCGCGGATGAGCATGAGTTGCTGACTAAGGCCCCGTTTATGGCCACTTCACCTAAGTCTAGTCGTAGAGTAAATTTCAATGCTCACCGTACTCCTTATCAGTATAAGTCTCCTCCTGGTGCGACAGTTACTCCCGTGAACTCTTCTCTTACTAACCCTAAGATGGTTACTCCATTGCCAGGATCATCTAAGCCTAGTAATGCTAATTCTAAACCGGCAGTTGGTTATACCAGTGTGTCCACTGTCAAACATTGTACCCATTGTAAGAGAAGGGGGCATGTGATTTCTTCATGTTTTAGTTTGCATCCTGAACTCCGACCAACTGGTCTTATTATGAGTAAAGGAGTGCAACCTATTAATTCTTCATGTATTACAGTCAGTCCCAATTGGATGGCTGAATTCAAACCCTATATGTCCACAGGTACCTTATTATGTACTAATGGTAGACATAAGACTGTTCAATTACTCCGTGATACTGGAGCTTCACAGTCTCTTATTACCCAGAAGGTACTTGATGATGTTGACACCCGAGATCTGGGTGAAGTTGTGCTTCTCCAGGGTATTGCCGGTAGTGTGCAACCAGTGTCCTTATTGCAAGTTAACCTTGATTCTAAATATACTTCAGGATGGTGTAATGTTGGTGTAAGTAAACAACTGCCCATTCCTGGGGTAGACATTATTCTAGGTAATGATTTTGGCAACCAAATGGTTGTAGGGCCCAAGTGTCCCATCATGTTAACTAAACCCCATAATGTATTAGCTCAACCGGAAGCAGATGATGATATTATTTACCCTGCTTGTGTTGTTACTAGATCAATGGGAAAAACAGGTGAGAGTAATCCTGTCTTCACTGAGGTTGCTGTTCCCAAGACCAGGACCCCTTCAGTAAAGGAGTGGGAGGTGGATCTTGAGGATTCTTTTATGACTCGACTGGATGATGAGAGTGAGGCCGTAGTAGAAGCCCCGCCGAACCTAAATCACAAGGAAAGTGAAGGTGAGGAGGCTGAACTATCTGTACCTTGCCCGCTTGTCTCCAGTGCGCCAGTTGTCGAGAGTGAGGCCGAAGTAGCTATGACTCCATTTTATTCTGATCAATCGGGAAAAGAGATCAAGCTACTAGGTTCTTGCCCGCTCGCTGCTGAGTCTGAGTCATTGCCCTTAAGTGTTGTACAGACTACTGATCCTAGTTTAAGTAAGTGTATTTCTGAGGCTCCTGATAATATTGATGCATTGGAGGAAGGGACGGGTTTCTTCTTCAAGGATCGACTTCTGATGAGAAGGTGGAGACCCAAGGGAACTCCCTCTTCAGAGGATTGTGAGATTAGAACCCAACTCGTTGTCCCCAATGATTATCGTAGGCAGGTCCTGCAGGCTGCACATGATGACCCCATGGGAGGTCATCAAGGTATCACGAATATGTACCATAAGATAAGTAAATATTTTTTCTGGCCAAAGTTAAAGAAAGACGTGGTCAGATATTGTCATAACTGTATACCCTGTCAAATTGTTGGTAAACCAAATCAATCTGTACCTAGAGCACCATTGCAACCTATTGTAGTTCCTGATGAACCATTTACTCATGTTGTAATTGATTGTGTGGGTCCTTTACCTAAGACTAAATCGGGTAACATGTTTTTGTTCACTCTCATGTGTATGACTACTAGATTTCCTGAAGCTTATGCTCTACGGAATACCAAGGCTCATAATCTCATCAAGTGTCTTGAAAGATTCTTTTCGTTGTTTGGAATGCCTAGAGTTATTCAGAGTGATAATGGGGGAAATTTTGTTTCTAAAGTTTTCAGAACTTTTTGCGAATCCCGAGGGATTCGGCACAAATTGTCCAGTCCATATCATCCACAAAGCCAAGGTGGACTTGAACGTTTCCACCAGACTTTGAAACAAATGCTGAAGACAACCGGAGAAACTCATCCACGTAATTGGGATGAGAATCTCCCCTTTGTGTTGTTTGCTGCTAGAGAAGGGCTACAAGAGTCATTGGGCTGTTCACCCTTTGAACTAGTGTTTGGTCACCAAGTAAGAGGTCCTCTTAAAATGCTACAAGAAAAGTTGTTGGGAGATGTCTCTGTTCATCAGAGCGGATTGTACTTGAGCGAGGTCAAGGCTAAGTTGTGTCGGGCTCGTGAGTTGGCGAAAGAACATCTGGGAAGGACTCAACAAGCCATGAAAGTACGATATGACAAGAAGTTCAAGGCTAAGCTAAGGTCGTTTGATGTCGGAGATTTGGTGTTGGTGTTGAAACCTCGTATGGGGACTTCCATGTCCCATAAGTTCGCAGGACCCTACCAAGTGGTAGACAAGGTGGGAGACCTAACTTATAAACTAATTAACCCTAATCTTTCAGAACCCCAAATGACTGTGCACATTAACAGATTAAAAGCTTATGTTGGACCTGGTGTAGTAGCTTGTTTTAGTCGGGAAGAGTTACCACCTGAGGATAATTGTAGTGAGGGACATGTTGTTAATATCCCACTTCTCAGTTCCAGTTCCAATGGCAGGGAGATGCTATGTCATTTACAGGAGGAACAACGTGATGAGTTCCAGGTTCTGCTGGACAACCATACATCTCTGTTTGGGGAGGTTCCTACCCAGACCCACCTCATCACACACGACATTCAGCTCCTGGACAGCACCCCCATTCGACAACATCCGTACCGAGTGAATCCCGAAAAGAGGAAAATTATGCAAGCAGAAGTGGAATATCTGCTCCAGCATGATTTCATTCGGCCAAGTCAAAGTACTTGGAGCTCTCCGTGTTTGTTAGTGCCAAAACCAGATGGAACCTGGAGATTGTGCGTGGATTACAGGAAACTGAACAAGAACACTACAGTGGACGTTTTTCCTTTACCCTTGTTGGAAGAATGTATAGAGTCCATAGGTCATGCCGAATATGTAAGTAAGCTTGATTTGTCAAAAGGGTATTATCAAATTCCATTAACAGAGTATGCTAGAGAGGTTACTGCTTTTGTTACACCTGATGGTGCGTATGAATTTAATGTCATGCCATTCGGTTTGAGAAATGCACCTGCTACTTTTCAAAGACTTATGAATTTCTTACTCAAGGATGTGCCAGATTGTAGGGCCTACCTTGATGACATTGTTTTGTACAGTAAGAATTGGGCCGATCATCTCTTAGGCCTTAAGAACTTGTTTACAGTGTTAGAAAACGCAAAGTTAACCATAAATATGAATAAGTGTAGTTGGGCAAAAGGTACGATAACTTATCTTGGCCACGAGGTGGGACAAGGTAAGATTATCCCCTTACAAGATAAGATTCAAGCCATTGTGGACTACCCAGTGTTGACCAATAAGAAAGGAGTCCAACGGTTTATTGGTATGTGTGCATACTATAGGCGTTATTGTAGAAATTTTTCAACAGTAGCTGCTCCTTTGACAAACTTGTTACGCAAGCAAGTAAAGTTTCAGTGGACACAAGATTGTCAGAATGCTTTTCAGAACCTAAAGGGCATATTGTCCACCTCACCTATTCTTGCTAGTCCCCAATTTGATAAACCATTTATATTACACATTGATGCGTCAGATGTTGGGATAGGTGCTGTGCTTATTCAAGTTGGTTTAGACCAGATTGAGCATCCTGTGTATTACTATTCCAGAAAATTTAATGCAGCTCAGAGAAATTATTCCGTGGTAGAAAAGGAGGCGTTGGGTCTTATATTGTCAATCAAGAAGTTTGAGATTTACTTATCAGGAAATAAAGTGTTAGTATTTACAGACCACAACCCCCTTATCTTTATAAATATGATGAAAGTCAAGAACCAACGAATTCTGCGATGGTCATTGTTTTTGCAGGAATTTAATGTAGAAATCAAACATATTCCAGGCAGACAAAATGTTATTGCTGATGCTTTGTCAAGAAGTTTTGATGTACCATAAATGAAATGTTTCTTTTTACTTAACATTTTTACTTCTGAAAAAATGCCATTGATCTTCAATCCATTGCATTTTTTTTCTTGGAGGTGGAAGTGTTACGTACCCTTATAAGATACGTAAGTGAATATATTAATATGTACATTTATAATTGTATGTAAATTACAAGCATGTATATTGTTATACTTATATGTTCTATGCAAATGCACATTCATGTTACAGTGTTGGCGTTAGGCCCAGCGTATCGTGGGAATGATTGTTTATTTCTTTGTGTGATCAGTTTTCCCACGGGAACTAATGATTTATATGTGATCATCAGTGGGTAACAGAGTGAAATAATAATTGAGTGAACTGTATCTGGCAAATTGTCGTGGGATCGTCCGTTGCTGGGGTGTGCATGCCATTATGCTATTCTGTATGCATATTTTAATTACTATGTAAAGAAACACGTACTTTTGTTGTCTATATCAATATGTACTAATTATTCATTAAGTTAGTTTAAGATTACTCTTGTCACAATGTAGTGCTCCATTGTTGAAATATTAATAATTGTAACTTTGGCAATTTATTCGCGGGGCAAGGCAATGTGTTTTTTGACTCTCATATTGGAGTTCAGTAGCTGAGCAGAAACCGGGGAGATAACACTTGTTGGAGTTAAGTCATTCTTTTATTCTAGCCATATAATTATTCTTAGTATTGATTTAATGTCTGGAAGTTACAGTGATATTTTTAATGTGATATATTGTGACCATATAATCATCTGTTTGCCTTTGAGATTTATTTAATATAAATTATATATATATACTTAGTATCTTTATTCTTCAGTCCTATGAAGATTCTATTTTATGCTCATTACCCATTAAGGGGTTATACTGGTGATTCGCTATTGAGAACAGCAGTTGTGTCGTATCCCTAGACTTATTAAAGTTTGGCTGCTGTAGGATCACGAGCCGTAACGTACGATAGGTAACACACCAGACCACACACTGGAAGGTGAAGGGACGACGACGTTTCGGTCCGTCCTGGACCATTTTCAAGTCGATCGACTTGAGAATGGTCCAGGACGGACCGAAACGTCGTCGTCCCTTCACCTTCTAGCGTGTGGTCTGGTCAACATACTTTAGCCACGTCATTGTGACTCATCGCCTGCATACCAGCCCATCACTGGGCACACTACTCCAACATTGGTTGAAGGTTTGTCTGGTCGAACCTGTGCAACAGCTACAGTCCACAGGTGTCTGGTCGAACCTGTACAACATCTACAGTCCGCAGCGGTAGAAAAGGCACCACTTTACCATCTTTGGGTTGAGTTGTGGGTAACGCAAGCCCTAGCTCCAGTGTGATGGAATTTCTTGTTCGTGCTTAATGAAAGCTCCAGTAGCTAAAGATGAAACGACCAAAAGCCTATATGTAACAGAGACCGTGAGAGAAAGTACTCAAGCTACAGAACATGGTACAAGAAGGTACTCCTGCTCCAGGAACATGGCATACAAGTTCAACTGCTATCTTGGGTGCTACATAGCCTTCCCGGTTTGGTGCCTTCTATTGATACTTACTTACTCAACTGCTATCTTGGCTGTAAGGCCTGGTGATGAGAGAAGGGGGGAAGGGAGAGCGTCTCACCAGAGGCATGAAGACGTACTGGCAGATGATGCCCACAGCGGGTCCCACCGGCCTCTTGAAGATCCTTTTGATCACTTGGAAGTCGAGGGTGGCGCCCATGGTGACGTACACGATGGACACCAGGATGCCGATGATGAGCGTGAAGAGGTCGGTGAGCTGCTGGTAGGAGAGCAGCACCGACATGTCCACCACGCTCCTCCCCACCACCTGTCACCCGGGGGAGAAAAGGCTCTCTGTATTTACTATTTGTGCCTGCAGGATCGAATTGTTTAGCTCTTGGACCTCGCCTTTCTCTCCGTTGGTTGTCTGCGAGTCACTCCTAGTGCATTCTGATACACGCACTTATGCTCGCGCACACAAACACACACACACACACACACACACACACACACACACACACACACACACACACACACACACACACACACACACACACACACACACACAAACTTTTTTGGCGTCAGAGTAGTTAATAAATGGAATGCATTAGGCAGTGATGTGGTGGAGGCAGACTCCATACACAGTTTCAAATGTAGATATGATAGAGCCCAATAGGCTCAGGAACCTGCACACCAGTTGATTGACAGTTGAGAGGCGGGACCAAAGAGCCGGAGCTCAACCCCCGCAAACACAACTAGGCGAGTACAGACACACACACACACACACACACACACACACAGTGAACCATCACCACAGTCACCCGCTCGGGTAATGCTGCCAAGGTCGACCAGTTACATCCTGTCAGGTATGAATGGTTCGTTAATAACCTTCATTGTTCTGGATGGTGGTGTGGGGGGGGGGGGGGGAGGTGTACACACACCTGGATTCACTCGCCTAATCGTGCTTGTTGGATCGAGCCAGGCTCCCAACCCCGCCTTACACACATCCTGATAATGAAAGGATTCGGTTCCCACGTTTTTCTTATCATATTTGCATTTAAATTGTATATTGAGTTGGAGGTTGGTACGAGTGACCACGTGCCCAGCAGAGGTGTACCAGTGACCACGTGCCCAGCAGAGGTGTGTGACCACGTGCCCAGCAGAGGTGTACGAGTGACCACGTGCCCAGCAGAGTGTACCAGAGTGACCACGTGCCCAGCAGAGTGTACCCGAGTGACCATGTGCCCAGCAGAGGTGTACCCGAGTGACCACGTGCCCAGCAGAGGTGTACCCGAGTGACCACGTGCCCAGCAGAGGTGTACCAGTGACCACGTGCCCAGCAGAGGTGTACCAGAGTGACCACGTGCCCAGCACGAGTGACCACGTGCCAAGCAGAGGTGTACCCGAGTGACCACGTGCCAAGCACCCGAGTGTACCCGAGTGACCACGTGCCAAGCAGAGGTGTACCAGAGTGACCACGTGCCCAGCAGAGGTGTACCCGAGTGACCACGTGCCAAGCAGAGGTGTACCAGAGTGACCACGTACCCAGCAGAGGTGTACCCGAGTGACCACGTGCCAAGCAGAGGTGTACCAGAGTGACCACGTGCCCAGCAGAGGTGTACCCGAGTGACCACGTGCCAAGCAGAGGTGTACCAGAGTGACCACGTGCCCAGCAGAGGTGTACCGAGTGACCACGTGCCCAGCAGAGGTGTACGAGTGACCACGTGCCCAGCAGAGGGTGTACGTGCCAAGCGAGTGACCACGTGCCCAGCAGAGTGTACCCGAGTACCCGAGTGGCCACGTGCCCAGCAGAGGTGTACCCAAGTGACCACGTGCCCAGCAGAGGTGTACCCGAGTGACCACGTGCCCAGCACGTGCCCAGCAGAGAGTGACCACGTGCCCAGCAGAGGTGTACCCCAGAGAGGTGTACCCGAGACCACGTGTACCAGAGTGACCACGTGCCCAGCAGAGGTGTACGAGTGACCACGTGCCCAGCAGAGGTGTACCAGAGTGACCACGTGCCCAGCAGAGGTGTACCGAGTGACCACGTGCCCAGCAGAGGTGTACCAGAGTGACCACGTGCCCAGCAGAGGTGTACCCGAGTGACCACGTGCCCAGCAGAGGTGTACCAGAGTGACCACCAGCGTGCAGAGGTGTACCAGAGTGACCACGTGCCCAGCAGGTGTACGAGTGACCACGTGCCCAGCAGAGGTGTACGAGTGACCACGTGCCCAGCAGAGGTGTACGAGTGACCACCAGACGTGCCCAGCAGAGTGTAGAGTGACCACGTGACCAGCAGAGGTGTACGAGTGACCACGTGCCCAGCAGAGGTGTACCCGAGTGACCACGTGCCCAGCAGAGGTGTACCCGAGTGACCACGTGCCAAGCAGACGAGTGAGCACGTGACCAGCAGCAGAGGTGTGTACCAGAGTGACCACGTGCCCAGCAGAGGTGTACGAGTGACCACGTGCCCAGCAGAGGTGTACCAGAGTGACCAGCAGAGGTGTACCCGAGTGACCACGTGCCCAGCAGAGGTGCCCACGTGCCCAGCAGAGGTGTACCAGAGTGACCACGTGCCCAGCAGAGTGCAGTGACCACGTGCCCAGCAGAGGTGTACCAGAGTGACCACGTGCCCAGCAGAGGTGTACGAGTGACCACGTGCCCAGCAGAGGTGTACGAGTGACCACGTGTACGAGTGACCAGCAGAGGTGTACGAGTGACCACGTGCCCAGCCGAGTGACCACGTGCCCAGCAGAGTGTGCCCAGCAGAGGTGTACGAGTGACCACGTGCCCAGCAGAGGTGTACCAGAGTGACCACGTGCCCAGCAGAGGTGTACGAGTGACCACGTGCCCAGCAGAGGTGTACGAGTGACCACGTGCCCAGCAGAGGTGTACGAGTGACCACGTGCCCAGCAGAGGTGTACGAGTGACCACGTGCCCAGCAGAGGTGTACCAGAGTGACCACGTGCCCAGCAGAGGTGTACCAGAGTGACCACGTGCCCAGCAGAGGTGTGTACCAGAGGTGTACGAGTGACCACGTGCCCAGCAGAGGTGTACCAGTGACCACGTGCCCAGCAGAGGGTGTACGTGCCCAGCAGAGGTGTAGAGTGACCACGTGCCCAGCAGAGGTGTACGAGTGACCACGTGCCCAGCAGAGGTGTACCAGAGTGACCACGTGCCCAGCAGAGGTGTACCAGAGTGACCACGTGCCCAGCAGAGGTGTACGAGTGACCACGTGCCCAGCAGAGGTGTACCAGCATAACCTCCTCACTGGTAAACGTGTGGCGTCAGAATAAACGTCAAATGGTTTATTTGTAGCGTAGTTTAGTGTGTCGGGGAGGCTGGGCTTACCACCTGCAGGTCGTCGTAGAGGGTGACGTAGATCTTGTTGTAGCCGATGAAGAGAGCCGAGACGGTGATGTTGCCGGTGTAGGTGAAGTTGTCAGTCCGGGAGCCAGCCACCACCTCCCCCACTGACACCACCGCGCCAACAACCTGTCGCACACAGTCACGGATTATAACAACATTTACTTTACTCCGTTACCTTAGTAACTCTCAAGAGGCCAGTTATCCTTTAGAAGATCCAAATGATCATTATCTTTAATACTGGCAACACTCCATGTAAGCTAACACAATGGCAAGCAAGTTCATCTGACACCATCAAGACAGTTCAGGATCCAACCCCAAGATCTCTCTATTAACTCAATTTATTTAATTTAAATTACATATATACATACTACCCAACACTTTAACATTTACTTCATATTACTGTATATGTTTTTGAGCATTTCAAGCGGGCCAGGAGACTCGAACCCTGGCCATCAAGATGGCAGGTACGCACTTAAATCCACTACACCATACTCAGAGCCCCTTAGATTTAAGAGCCCCAAAATTTAAGTGCGTACCTGCCATCTTGATGGCCATGGTTCGAGTCTCCTGGGTGGTGTGAGTGTCTAAAGTTCTATACAGTACTTCAAACTTGTGGTTTAAAAGCAAGCCAGTGCATATATATATATATATATATATATATATATATATATATATATATATATATATATATATATATATATATATATATTAGTATATTTTGGTAGCAGTCTTTCCTGTAGACATATATTATAAATATGACCGAAAAAGCGATGTACGAAAGATTGAGAAAATTCGTGTTAGAATTATTAATCTTACTTTTTCGGTCATATTTAATAATATATATATATATATATATATATATATATATATATATATATATATATATATATATATATATATATATATATATTGTTATATGCTGTTATGAGAGAACATGGGTGAGTTTGTATCGTCAAGATAGAAAATAAGACGAAGAGCAAGAGAAGGAAATACCTGGCAAGCCGTTGTTACCGGGGAACATACCTGGTCGTGGACGGAGGCGGTGACGGAGGTGACGGAGGGGAGGTCACAGTACCAGGTGAGGGTGTGGTTGGTGCCCTCTACCACCTGCAGCAGGGCTGAAGGTACCACCACCACCACCACCACCTCCTCGCTCCTCTCATCAGCCACACTTAGGTCCTCCACCTGCACCAGATTTCAACATATTTATCCCTTGTACATATTTATCAAGCAAGAGTGTGATGGTGCCACATTTTCACACATAGTGACGGAAATTCACATAATATATGTAGATATAGGTAGCAGAGAACTTTCCATCGTTTAACACCTAAAAATAAGTAGCTATATCAGGAACTGCGGGTGTACAGAATGGCAAGTAGCAGCTGGCGGAGCAGGGTTATCTTGAGGTTATCTTGAGATGATTTCGGGGCTTTAGTGTCCCCGCGGCCCGGTCCTCGACCAGGCCTCCACCCCCAGGAAGCAGCCCGTGACAGCTGACTAACACCCAGGTACCTATTTACTGCTAGGTAACAGGGGCATTCAGGGTGAAAGAAACTTTGCCCATTTATTTCTGCCTCGTGCAGGAATCGAACCCGCGCCACAGAATTACGAGTCCTGCATGTTATCCACCAGGCTACGAGGCCCCCTAACAGGGTGGGCAGCCTCTGAACAGTTTTATTAATTACAGTATTTTTAAGCTGCATCTCTTATGACCCCATCCCTGCCCTTGTGTGACAGTGCACAATAGAAAGTTGTATTTATATATTCGTACATTGAAACGTGTATAGTCTAATGTAGTAATGTAGTTGATTGTATATATATATATATATATATATAATATATATATATATATATATATATATATATATATATATATATATATATATATATATATATATGTATGTATGTGTGTGTGTGTGTGTGTGTGTGTGTGTGTGTGTGCTTCAGTCTACAGTTTAGACCTATTGTCTTGTGTATGACCCTCTGTCCTGTGTGACAGTCAACACCAGCATTATCCTCACTAATAAGACCAAATTGAATTCCTCAGATTAGGCAAATTGTACATTAATTTTTGTCAATAAAGATGTTAATAATAATACTAATGGAAGGTACTGACTGGGGGCTGGAGAGTGAGGGCGCTGGTGGCCAGCAGCACGAGCACCCAGCACACGAGGGAGACACAACCACACACCATCTTACAACTGCCCTTCACGGTCTTCTCACTCTCATTAGTTTCAGCTCACGTCTTGAAGATTTTGTTTATTTGATCCTGTCGTAGATGAGTGTAAGAGTAAAGTTTACTGTGGGAGGTATTACGTGCCGTATACTTGATACACACTCCATCAGTGACCCCTTCGTGCGAAGATCACAAGAATCACAGTTGTGGCCTCATATGTTTTTCACACATTTTTCATGTTTCTTTTACAGACTAATATGTCATCTGGCAGTGTATTTTGAACGTTATAGAGATGACAGCTTAATTGTTGGATCTTGTTTCGGGTTTTGCCTTGTCTGAAAAAAAAGAAACCATCAATTTTCATCATCTTTATTTCATCGCCTTCAGAAACTTGAATAAAGGGCTTTTAGATCACTGTATACCGCCGATGTGAGGCCAGTCTTAGAGTACGCGGCCCGTCGTGAAGCCCCAAGCCTTGCTACAATGTACCTTTTCATCTTACCTGATATGTTAGATTAGGGACCTGCCCGAGCGTGTTAGTGGCTTTGCTTGAAGGTAAAAATACCAGTCTTATGTAATCTCACCAACCCATTGTACCTTGCAAGTAAATTATTATTATTATTATTATTATTATTATTAAACCAAATTTCAGGACCTGAAATTTAAGCAGGACCTTCGCGGTCCTGATGTATAATTTCCTGAAGAACAAGAACAATGCCTGAGGAGGGTGGCAACGTTACACCAAGTGTTGGTGGCACTGTGCTACGCGTCACTGCTGCACATGAGCCGTGTGTGTGTGTGTGTGTGTGTGCTGTGCACCGCTGACCTCAACAACACACACACAAAGGTAGATGATAAAGACACTCCGGATGTAAATACAGGCCATGGTGTGACCTTGAGAGAAGAGAATATCACGTTCAATGATTCTCAGATGAACACACACATTTGTACAGTGGTCTACGTCCTCGACTCACAATCTAGGATCCCATCTTTGATTCCCAGACACGACAGAAATGGTTGGGGGAGTTTACTTTCATCCGATGTTCCTGTCCACCCAGGAGTTAGGCAATTGTTGTGGGTTGCATTCTTGGGAGGGTCAGTAGTTGACCTCGGGAGGACCTTGATAAAATAAAGAAGAGGCTTTACCTTCTTCCCATTACCAGAGATAATAAAGGTTCACTGTTATGGACTGTGCGTGGCGTGATAGGTCGCCCACCTACTTACTAACGCAAGTGCGCTCGAGTGCGTTAGTAAAGTCACTCTGGTGACGTTACCCATCTCCGTCACTGGTGACTTTCGCTTTGTTGTCCAAAGGGTTTGGAAAGTATGGAGGAGGTAGAGAGATGGGGAGATGAAATTCTGGAAGAGGATGCGGGTGTAGAGAGAGAGGAGGTTTGAAAGTTGGGTGGCCTGTCCACCGTGGGTTGACATGTATGTGTGTGTGTCGTTTGTTTGGGTGTGTGGTATGTTGGGTTGTCAGTGCATTGACTGGGGGGCAAGTGTTTGTGTCCTAGCTGGTGTCTGGAAGCCCTAGAGCCGATGCAGTTGGCTGCAGGAGATTAATCTTAGCAACATCAGTGTGGTTACACTTTATATTTATTTTCCTTCAATAATATTTATTTTTCTTCAATAGGTATAGATGGGGTCCGGGAAGGGCCACTCATCTGGGTCGTCTGACAGGCCACTTAGTATTTGAGGTCACGGGAAGGCTTGATTATGGATGTGTCTGATCACTTTTTGTCGGAGAGTGATTCTTGTGGTTGTGTATGGTGGTTGATGGATCTCATGGTCGCTGGTGGTGTTTACTGCTTCGTGGGGATCTTCGGGGTCTGGGACATACACGTGCTTCATGCGGTACAGCTGCCTTCTGGCCAGGTAGCTGAGCATCACGTTGGCATCTTGTTGATTGTCTCATGGATTTGGTCTGTTCTTACCCTGTCCGCCAGCGACGGGCCCGCCGCAAAGCGAAGTGCTTTATTTTGTACCCTTTGGAGCTTCAGCATGTTGGTTTTGTTGGTAAGGTTCACTGGTGGTCCCTGGTGACGTTACCCACCTTCACCACTCTGGTACTGACCTCAGCCATCACCTGCTGGTCCCTGGTGACGTTACCCACCTTCACCACTCTGGTACTGGCCTCAGCCATCACCTGCTCTACTTCATGTATTATGCGTCTCTCACCATCCCGGCGGGAGAGCTTACCGAAGGACATATATGGTCTAGGAACTGAAGCTCGGTAATTTACAGTTTTAATGTCATTAATTCCTGATAAAGTTGTGATCGGGTAGGGTAGTGATCTACTTACAGTACAGTAGTTACAGTACTGTAGTTACAGTACTGTAGTTACAGTACCGTAGTTACAGTACTGTAGTTACAGTACTGTAGTTACAGTACCGTAGTTACAGTACTGTAGTTACAGTACCGTAGTTACAGTACTGTAGTTACAGTACTGTAGTTACAGTACTGTAGTTACAGTACTGTAGTTACAGTACTGTAGTTACAGTACTGTAGTTACAGTACTGTAGTTACAGTACTGTAGTTACAGTACTGTAGTTACAGTACTGTAGTTACAGTACTGTAGTTACAGTACTGTAGTTACAGTACTGTAGTTACAGTACCGTAGTTACAGTACTGTAGTTACAGTACTGTAGTTACAGTACTGTAGTTACAGTACTGTAGTTACAGTACTGTAGTTACAGTACTGTAGTTACAGTACTGTAGTTACAGTACTGTAGTTACAGTACTGTAGTTACAGTACATGGTTATGACATAAGGATGACTAGTAAAGATTGTAGTGAAGGTCAGCCCTCTCGATCTGCACGTGAGATACAATGACGAGAGTTTCTTCTTTAAACGCTTGAATGCAAACGTTCTAAGAGCGGCCCGAGGCGGTCTAAGCGGCCCGAGGCGGTCTAAGCGGCCCGAGGCGGTCTAAGCAGCCCGAGGCGGTCTAAGCAGCCCGAGGCGGTCTAAGCGGCCCGAGGCGGTCTAAGCAGCCCGAGGCGGTCTAAGCGGCCCGAGGCGGTCTAAGCAGCCCGAGGCGGTCTAAGCGGCCCGAGGCGGTCTAAGCGGCCCGAGGCGGTCTAAGCGGCCCGAGGCGGTCTAAGCCAGTAGCCTCAAACGTTATTTGAGTAATGTCAAATGTTCCGACAGCGTTTTGAGAACCCTTGAGAGTGGCCAGAGCGTCTTGAGAGCATTCTAAGAGCCACCCCACCCCAGCTCACAACTCCAGACTCATCAATAACAATGTTTTTTTCTCTTCCCACCCCCCAAGTGGTATCAAAATACCTGCCAAGGCACGACCATATGCGGGCGCTCGCTCCTCCATACAGTAAACACGAGGGAATGTTGGAAGTAAATAAATAAATAATAAATAAATAAATAAATAAATAAATAAATGTTTATTCAGGTAAGATACATACATACAAGAGATTTTAGAAAAATTGATGGATATATAGATAGAGCTGGTACATACAATGCCTAAAGCCACTATTACGCAAAGCGTTTCGGGCAGGAAAAATATTAATGACTAAAACTTAATACTAATTGAGTATAAAGAATAAAATGTGTTGAGAACAAATAAAAATTAAGATAAAAAAGGGGGGAACATGGCTGAAAAAGCAGCACAAATACAATTAGGTCGACAAACAGCGTTGTTTAAAAATCAGACATGAGTTGACAATAGAGGGGTAAGGTAAGGTAGGGAAGTAACAGTGTGTTTACGTTGTTGACCAGACCACACTAGAAGGTGAAGGGACGACGACGTTTCGGTCCGTCCTGGACCATTCTCAAGTCGATTGTGAGAAACGTCGTCGTCCCTTCACCTTCTATAGTGTGTGGTCTCGTCAACATACTTTAGCCACGTTATTGTGACTCATCGCCTGCATGGGTTTACGTTCCTTGGCTGACCAAGCTTGGGATCACTCCGGCTGCCAGTACGTGCAGGTCACCCAGCTTCCTACACCATACTTTCCTCCCACTTTATTGGTCTTATTATTTTGTTCATGATCTCACGTTACAGCCCCGCTCCTGTGCCAGGTAAGTCCACTACGGGCTCACCATAGCCCCTGCTACTTGGAACTTTTTGTTCCCAGTACCTGAATCTATAACAACAACAACATGGTCATGATAATCTGTGGAACGAATGATTTAGTTGTGTAATAACAGAGATCCGTACGTCTGTGTGCTGAGTGGAGACCCGTGCACTCATACATTTTCCTGTATGTCTTTTCAAAAACGTATGATCGGTGAGTGAATGCGCTGATAGGTATAAAAGAAGCGTCATCAATGCATATGTAGGTTGCGCTATACGCACATGCTCATCTTGGCAGCTCTCGCACCAGGAACTCAATCAAGTTACGGGCTCACCATAGCCCGTGCTACATGTAACTTTGTTCCAGGTAGCGAATCTTTAACAACAACAACAACCAGGAACTTGAACGAATCCGCCAGTGTTGTGAACAACGCTTACAGCAATACAGAATTCGACGAAATCGTAAAGAATAGCCTAGGCCACCATCTGTCTGAGGATAATCAGGCCCCAGGGGTGGAAAATCGGCCTCCAAAAGAAAACATTGTAGTGTATTATATAAAAAAAACTTTCACTCAGTCATACAAGAAGGATGAGAAGGTGATACGAGACATAATTGACAGGCATTGCAAACCTTGCAGTGAAAAGGAAAGGAGTCGTCCTGTCATTTATTATAACAACTCTCGTACATCTTCCCTCATGAGAAATAACATCGCTGCCTCCTTGACAACCTGAGGTGCACTAATGTAGTGTGTCAATACAAATTGCAGCTATGGAGACTTTGTACTCCAAAATATATGCTACATTGGACATACCACGAATACATTGAGTAGACGTCTTACACTTCATTTGCAAGACGGAGGTATTAACCAACACCATCTTTAATCGCCAAGATATAGTGAAAGATACGACAATAATGACACGCACCGACGATTGCAGAAGGCTTCATACGCTTGAGGCTGTGGTCATTTGGGAGCTACACCAGTGATCAACTTCCAGATGAATTCAGCATCGAGCATACAACTGTTCGATGGTCCTCCATTGACCCAGAGTGTCGTGTGAAATACTGAGTCGGCAACTCTGCTTCTGTGTTTCAGAGGCAAGTAGTAAAGTGGTGGCTGGTGGTGACTGGTGGTCCCTGGTGGTGACTGGTGGTCCCTGGTGGTGGCTGGTGGTCCCTGGTGGTGGCTGGTGGTCCCTGGTGGTGGCTGGTGGTCCCTGGTGGTGACTGGTGGTGACTGGTGGTGACTGGTGGTCCCTGGTGGTGGCTGGTGGTGACTGGTGGTCCCTGGTGGTGGCTGGTGGTGACTGGTGGTCCCTGGTGGTGGCTGGTGGTCCATGATGGTCCCTGGTGGTGGCTGGTGGTCCATGATGGTCCCTGGTGGTGGCTGGTGGTCCCTGGTGGTGGCTGGTGGTCCCTGGTGGTGGCTGGTGGTGGCTGGTGGTGGCTGGTGGTCCCTGGTGGTGGTGGCTGGCTGGTGGTCCCTGGTGGTGGCTGGTGGTGGCTGGTGGCGACTGGTGGTCCCTGGTGGTCCATGGTGGTGGCTGGTGGTCCCTGGTGGTGGCTGGTGGTGACTGGTGGTCCCTGGTGGTGGCTGGTGGTCCATGGTGGTGGCTGGTGGTGACTGGTGGTCCCTGGTGGTGGCTGGTGGTCCCTGGTGGTCCCTGGTGGTGGCTGGTGGTCCCTGGTGGTGGCTGGTGGTGACTGGTGGTCCCTGGTGGTGGCTGGTGGTCCCTGGTGGTCCCTGGTGGCTGGTGGTCCCTGGTGGTGGCTGGTGGTCCCTGGTGGTGGCTGGTGGTCCCTGGTGGTGGCTGGTGGTCCCTGGTGGTGGCTGGTGGTCCCTGGTGGTGGCTGGTGGCGACTGGTGGTCCCTGGTGGTAGCTGGTGGTCCATGGTGGTGGCTGGTGGTCCCTGGTGGTGGTTGGTGGTCCCTGGTGGTGGCTGGTGGTCCCTGGTGGTGGCTGGTGGTCCATGGTGGTGGATGATGGTCCCTGGTGGTGACTGGTGGTCCATGGTGGTGGCTGGTGGTTTCTGGTGGTCCATGGTGGTGGCTGGTGGTCCCTGGTGGTGGTTGGTGGTCCCTGGTGGTGGCTGGTGGTCCCTGGTGGTGGTTGGTAGTCCCTGGTGGTAGCTGGTGGTCCCTGGTGGTGGTTGGTGGTCCCTGGTGGTGGTTGGTGGTCCCTGGTGGTGGTTGGTGGTCCCTGGTGGTGGTTGGTGGTCCCTGGTGGTGGCTGGTGGTCCCTGGTGGTGGTTGGTAGTCCCTGGTGGTAGCTGGTGGTCCCTGGTGGTGGTTGGTGGTCCCTGGTGGTGGCTGGTGGTCCCTGGTGGTGGTTGGTGGTCCCTGGTGGTGGCTGGTGGTCCCTGGTGGTGGTTGGTAGTCCCTGGTGGTGGCTGGTGGTCCCTGGTGGAGGCAGGTGGTCTCTGGTGGTGGTGGCTGGTGGTCCCTGGTGGTGGCTGGTGGTCCCTGGTGGTGGTTGGTAGTCCCCGGTGGTAGCTGGTGGTCGCTGGTGGTCCCTGGTGGTGGTTGGTAGTCCCTGGTGGTAGCTGGTGGTCCCTGGTGGTGGTTGGTAGTCCCTGGTGGTGGTTGGTAGTCCCTGGTGGTGGTTGGTAGTCCCTGGTGGTGGCTGGAGGTCCCTGGTGGTGGCTGGTGGTCCCTGGTGGTGGCTGGTGGTCCCTGGTGGTGGCTGGTGGTCCCTGGTGGTGGCTGGTGGTGGTCCCTGGTGGTGGCTGGTAGTCCCTGGGGGTGGCTGGTGGTCCCTGGTGGTAGCTGGTGGTCCCGGGTGGCGGCTGGTGGTCCCTGGTGGTGGCTGGTAGTCCCTGGTGGTGGCTGGTGGTCCCTGGGGGTGGCTGGTGGTCCCTGGGGGTGGCTGGTGGTCCCTGGTGGTGGCTGGTGGTCCCTGGTGGTGGCTGGTGGTCCCTGGTGGTGGTGAATAGTGGTCCCTGGTGGTAGTGGCTGGTGGTCCCTGGTGGTGGTGACTGGTGGTCCCTGGTGGTGGTGGCTGGTGGTCCCTGGTGGTGGTGACTGGTGGTCCCTGGTGGTGGCTGGTGGTCCCTGGTGGTGGCTGGTGGTCCCTGGTGGTGGCTGGTGGTCCCTGGGGGTGGCAGGGGATCCCTGGTGGTGGCTGGTGGTCCCTGGTGGTGGCTGGTGGTCCCTGGATGTTTCTGTAATACAGAAGCATTTTCTCACAAACAACCCCATCATGTCAAAGATGTTGACTTTCTTCTTTCGTGTAAACCAAATGAGGAGTGTAAGAAGAATAACGTACAGGAGACTGATAATGATAACAGTGAAAATGGCAAAAGATGTGTTACGGCTGCTTCTAATTCAAATTTTCAAACTGGAAACCCCGTTGAAAAGCAGAGGTGCAACAGGTACTCTGAGAGAGAACTCTTATCAACATCAGAGGCCCGAGACTGTTCAACTCGCTTCCACTACACATAAGGGGCATAACTGGCCGACCCCTCACAGTGTTCAAGAGAGAACTGGATAAGCACCTCCAAAGGATACCTGATCAACCAGGCTGTGACTCATACGTCAGGCTGTGAGCAGCGCGTCCAACAGCCTGGTTGATCAGTCCAGCAACCAGGAGGCCTGGTCGACGACCGGGCCGCGGGGACGCTAAGCCCCGGAAGCACCTCAAGGTAACCTCAAGGTAAGGTGGATCCATGTGCAATTCAGAAAGTACTGGTGCTTTGAAATCTAACTTGTATCCCTGCTCAGGTGTTTGGACTGAAGAAATGAAAGGAAACCTATCCATGGTTAGACTTTAGGGATGATAAACTTGGGTGTAAAGTATGTGCAAATATAAGCAATGTAACACTTTTCACTTCTAAGGGTTTTTGACTATCAAGTGAGTGGCAGATGTACCAAGTATACTATTATGGAACAGGTCGAACTACACGCTTGAAGTCTCTCACAACAAAAATAGTTGGTCATAAAGTATGGAAAGTTTACACTGCTGCTTTACGTGTTGAAAATGTTGCTAGTGAAGATGTTCTTGGAAAATTGTGTGACGCCATGAATGCTTCGCATCCCAACACAACTTGTTCAATTTTGCGCTCTGCATATTATTTAGCTCAGACTGACAGACCATACTATGAACGGAGCATAAGGTCATTGCGTGGACTAAGAGAGAAACCTGGCACTAGAACTTTAGAAGCTCAAAAGACAATTAAAAAGGTCAAGTTTGGAGGAATTACCATAAGAAGCAACGAGAAAATTGTCTCCACTAATTATGAACAGTTTCTTACTAGTCTTGTGAACACTTTGCAGCGCCAAATCAAGGTCACCTTATGTTCACGACAACATCCATGAAAGCCTCTCAAACCTCTGAACCTCAAAGTGGGTATAAATTACTGCTAAGTGAAATGTGTGTCCTTGAAAATGACTAATGGCGGCTGGCCTGATGAAATACCACCTAATTACGGAGAAGCTGAAATATTATCTCTATGTAAGAGGTTTAATCTTTCTTCTTACTGGGCAGTAAATGCCTTTAGAGACTGTGTGGAGGATCCTGGACGCCGCCTCCCCCAAGATGTACACCCATGTGTGGAGGATCCTGGACGCCGCCTCCCCCAAGATGTACACCCATGTGTGGAGGATCCTGGACGCCGCCTCCCCCAAGATGTACACCCATTACCGAGTTGTTGACAAGTTATTGTCATTAGTACTGTTAGTACTGCTGAGTGTGAGAGGTCCTCCCCCAAGATGTACACCCATGTGTGGAGGATCCTGGACGCCGCCTCCCCCAAGATGTACACCCATTACCGAGCTGTTGACAAGTTATTGTCATTAGTACTGTTAGTACTGCTGAGTGTGAGAGGGGATTAACTCACATAAACCAGGCTATAATACCACCACGCTCAAGGGTACTCATACATTATGTATCATTATCTTTGTTACACTACATGAACCTGCTCTACTTCAGTGGCATCCTGAGCCTTATATCATGGCTACGGTGCTATGCTCTACTTCAGTGGCATCCTGAGCCTTATATCATGGCTACGGTGCTATGCTCTACTTCAGTGGCATCCTGAGCCATATATCATGGTTGTGGTGCCACAGATCCTGAGTCATATATCATGACTGTGGTGCCACAGATCCTGAGTCATATATCATGACTGTGGTGCCACAGATCCTGAGCCATATATCATGACTGTGGTGCCACAGATCCTGAGCCATATATCATGACTGTGGTGCCACAGATCCTGAGCCATATATCATGGCTGTGGTGCCACAGATCCTGAGCCATATATCATGACTGTGGTGCCACAGATCCTGAGCCATATATCATGGCTGTGGTGCCACAGATCCTGAGCCATATATCATGGCTGTGGTGCCACAGATCCTGAGCCATATATCATGGCTGTGGTGCTACAGATCCTGAGCCATATATCATGGCTGTGGTGCCACAGATCCTGAGCCATATATCATGGTTACGGTGCCACAGAACCTGAGCCATATATCATGGTTACGGTGCTACAGATCCTGAGCCATATATCATGACTGGTGCCACAGATCCTGAGCCATATATCATGACTGTGGTGCCACAGATCCTGAGCCATATATCATGGCTGTGGTGCCACAGATCCTGAGCCATATATCATGACTGTGGTGCCACAGATCCTGAGCCATATATCATGGCTGTGGTGCCACAGATCCTGAGCCATATATCATGACTGTGGTGCCACAGATCCTGAGTCATATATCATGACTGTGGTGCCACAGATCCTGAGCCATATATCATGGCTGTGGTGCCACAGAACCTGAGCCATATATCATGGCTGTGGTGCCACAGATCAACAGATGCCATCACCAGGACAAGTGTTGCTTCACACCCCAGAAAACAGCTCCTCACACCTGACCCTTCGTGGACACTTGTGAAACTTCTCACTGGTTGTATTTTGTGAGCACTAAGTGTTTTAACTTCGTAAATTGATAAATACACGATTAGTGTTTTTTCTTTATTTGTTTGATAATTATATTTTATGATAATTAGTGAGTACAAACACGAAATACATAATCGCGTGACATATATAGAAACAGGATAGGAAATGCTAGGCTTTTGCTAGGCACACCACAGCTCTGGCACCTATAAAATTGGCACTTCACCGCCCCTGGTCATACTGTCAAAGCAAAGTGAAACATGGGGGAGGAGAATATTACAGTTATGGCGGTAGAGAAGACTCACGTGTGTGTGTAGGTGGGAGAGGACGCCGCAACAGGACTCCACAGGGCGGCACCACAGCTAGTACTGAGGCCGCCAGGAGAGTGGCTGTGGCAGAGGCTACCTCACCACCCTACCATTACACTTCCCTCTCTCCTCCACCACTGTCACCCATCTCACCGCTGTCACCACTCTTCACCACTGTCACCACTCTCCACCACTGTCACCCATCTCACCGCTGTCACCACTCTTCACCACTGTCACCACTCTCCACCACTGTCACCCATCTCACCGCTGTCACCACTCTCCACCACTGTCACCACTCTCCACCACTGTCACCACTCTCCACCACTGTCACCCATCTCACCGCTGTCACCACTCTCCACCACTGTCACCACTCTCCACCACTGTCACCACTCTCCACCACTGTCACCACTCTCCACCACTGTCACCCATCTCACCACTGTCACCACTCTCCACCACTGTCACCCATCTCACCACTGTCACCACTCTCCACCACTGTCACCCATCTCACCACTTTCCACCACTGTAAAATTCCTCAACGATAACAGTGACTTATTTTATCTAAACCCATCCAACACCACCCATTTCTCAGGTGGAAGAAGTGATGGTGTAATAGGTCCTGGTCTCTTAGACAATGCTATCCACGGATCATTATTGCAAGAGTTCGTGATCATTATGCCATACTAAGCATATACACTATTAAAAATGTCAAATCACACGTCATAAATGAACAACACATAATATCCATGACAACTTGCACATACACTTGAAGCGCAAAATACAAAAGCGCTGTGAATGTGTCGAAGGGAGCATCGCGATTTTTTTGGGGCGAAAGGTAGAAATCGAGCGCTAGGGGATTTGTCTCCATTGTAAAGCGAGTGGCGCCCGGCAGGACGGGTACTTATAGGCACCAATAACGATAGTACCATCGGGTACTAATGGGCCAGGCTTCACGGTTACGGGTTATTCATGCCCGTGCATGAATAACCTTGGGTGGCTCATAATCTTCGTCAATCGTTTGCATGTAGGCCCCTCCTAACCACTTCACATACTTCGGTTACCTCCTTGGTGTGTTGTACAGGCTCCTGTGTCAGGTTAGGTCTGCGCTGGTGGGTTTTGACAGGTTCCTTCGGCATGGATATCCTACTTCCTTGTCGGGTCGTGGGTGCCGGGTTGTAGACCTGCTCGGACGAGGTGATCCTTGATGGACTCGCCTCGCCTCCACGCAATCATTGGTGGATTTTGCGGGAAATTCTCCCAAGACGGGTGGTCACTGTATGCGTCTCCCTCATCCAGGGCCCATACGTCTGAGAGTTTGTTTTAGTTTCCCAGCAAAACCAGGAAAGAACAGGCTAGGGAGGATCCATCTCCTATCCTCTAACCGTGGGGCCAGGGGCCTGAGAAGTTGTTCCTTGGTCTTTCCGCGTGTTATGGTACTTTTTTTTTTTTAGATATATACAAGAGTTGTTACATTCTTGTACAGCCACTAGTACGCGTAGCGTTTCGGGCAGGTCCCTGGAATACGATCCCCGCCGCGAAGAATCGTTGTTACAACCAAGTACACATTTTACTGTTGCGTTAAACAGAGGCTACAGTTAAGGATTTGTGCCCAGTAAATCCTCCCCGGCCAGGATATGAACCCATGCGCTCGCGGAACGCCAGGCGAGTGTCTTACCACTACACCATGGGGACTAGATCATTATGTCATTACTTACAATACAATACAATACAATACAATTTTATTTAGGTAACTTATACTTAACACTTTGTGTTATACTTAACACTTTGTATAACACATACTTAACACTTTTAAGTATAACTTATACTTAACACTTTGTGTTATGGTATAGTTTCCACATGGTACTTAACACTTAAGTGTTAAGTACCATCCTATGTACCCTAACAAACCCAATGTACCTTCTTGTATATAAATAAATAAATAAGTAAATAAATATAACTGTAAGGGTGCTATAACTGCCCCTAACCCAGTAACAACAACACGGCCGTCCAGCGTCAGCGTGAGTGGCTGCTGCTGCTGCTGCTGCTCCACGGTCCACCTGGGGGCGTCAAAAAGCGTGTTGCGAGTACTGTCTGCAGGGTTACCATTTTGCTGAGAGGCAACAACAACTGTGACTGATATGACACTGGGTATTTTCTTGTTGGATCTTAGGGCGTCGAGCTGTACGATCAGTCGGCGGGTTCCTGGTGTACCCTCTGGATGTGGTGGGGGGTCCATAGAATTACCCAAATCGGCCCAAATCGGCCCAAAACTACACAAATCGTCCTAGCATTACGTAAGTAATGAAGAAATATGGTATATTTACTTACTATAATGTTGGTGCTACACGTAGAACATGATCAAACCTATTTTTACTCTGAAATAATCTAATTTCGTAACGAAATGAGACGTAAATATGTGAGAGGTGACGCCATAGGAAGTCGACGGTCCAAGCGACAATTGTGTGGAGCGACTTATCCAAGATATATGGTCGCCTGGAGAGTGTTTGCTGCCATAACAGCCTCCTGTACACAGTGATCCAGTCGTCGTATTTCATGGCTCAAATTGTCGCAAATTTAATTGGTAATATTAACAAGTAGAATGTGTATTTATAATAATATTTTTCATAAACAGCTACAAAATATTTAATATTTATTAAAAAAAGTGTCTGGAAGTTAAATCAATTCCACATGACAATAAATTTGTTATATAGATACTAGCGTTATTCGTTGGTATGCGTTCGCTATTTAAACTACTCCAGTCCTTTTCGTTCATAGAACACCGAACCCTACACGCTCTCTGATATATTGCTTAATTAACAAATATTCACAAATAAAGATTATATTTATATATGTTATCAGAAAGGCAGATATAAAATAGTTTGTGTTAATGTATCACAGAGATTATACCTTATTAGAGAGGAAAAATATTCATATTTTAAACAAGGCTTCTTGGCCGACGCTCTCCCTTTCGATGGGAACTATGACCTTTTGAAAATCAATGTTAATTGAATCTAGATATTGTAAAAAACGAAGTTTTTTATGTCATCAGAAAGACATATAAGCTGCATGTTAATACTTTGGTATAAATATAACTGAAGTGAAAGTGAAGATATATGCCTTTTTAGTTACTTGATGGCTCGCTCAGGGAGTGTGAAGGCCTGCACACAAGCCAATCAATTTTATAATTAATGTACATATATGCAAAGTAACGTCAAATGTTTTTATTTCAGAATAAAGACAGATGTAGACGATAATGTAAATACATTTCAAGGAAAACATATCTTAAATGAAAGCAAAGATATGGTCAAATAAATAGGCAATGCTACACCATCGCCAGTGTCAGGACACATGAATATTCGCATTAGGTAGGTGAAAGGAAATGTACCCAACCATTGCCATTTACGCGACCAGTTTCCGTTCTTATGTTCTTACTTACATTTATTGAAATTGATCATCATCATCATTTACAGAAATAAATTAACATAAAAATGTAGTAATTTTAATACACAAAACAGAAGTAGATATGTATGTAAATTATGACGTAGGATAGGATCACTATTGCAGAACTATTCGCATACTTTGCGTCATTATACACAGTACTGGAATTTAAAAAAAATCGCGGAATTCAGAGATAACACCATCATTAGTGTCCAAGAAAAGTGTAAGTACTTCATTTATAATGATGTGCTGCCCAAAATCTTAGCGAAGTATCTAAAATTTGCTTACTGTAAGTAATTCATGCAAATGATTGTAAAGCCGTCGCCCAGTTGGTTGGGTGTGGAGCACATGACTGTAAAGCTGCCGCCCAGTTGGGTGGGTGTGGAGCACATGACTGTTAAGCTGCCGCCCAGTTGGGTGGGTGTGGAGCACATGACTGTTAAGCTGCCGCCCAGTTGGGTGGGTATGGAGCACATGACTGTAAAGCTGCCGCCCAGTTGGGTGGGTGTGAAGCACATGACTTAAGCTGCCGCCCAGTTGGGTGGGTGTGGAGCACATGACTGTTAAGCTGCCGCCCAGTTGGGTGGGTGTGGAGCACATGACTGTTAAGCTGCCGCCCAGTTGGGTGGGTGTGGAGCACATGACTGTAAAGCTGCCGCCCAGTTGGGTGGGTGCGGAGCACATGACTGTTAAGTTGCCGCCCAGTTGGGTGGGTGTAGAGCAAGACTAGTAATTGGACGACTCACCATAGATGTAAAGTGCCTAGTATAGTGACTTGTGAGCCTCTTGTTGAATCACTTGTGATACAAAGATTATTGATGTGTGTATTTGTGTGGGTGATTGAATATGTATATGTATATAAGCAATTGACGATCACGAAACAATAATCATTTGTATGCGGAAAATTTCATATTTCATTTCTCTGGATTTACCGCATATGTATATATATGTACATGTATGTATGATTATGTGTACATGTATATATAACATTAATAAGAGGAAATGAAGATGAAGAAATGATAAAAAGAATGGCAATAGTGGATAATAATAATAATAATAATAAATAATAATTTTTATTTAGGTAAGGTACAAACATAAAGAGATTTTACAAAGTTTGTTGGCTTTATAGATAGAGCTAGTACATACAATGCCTAAAGCCACTATTATGCAACGCGTTTCGGGCAGGAGTAGTAACACACTTAAGAATTATTCAGTAATAAACACAAACTCGTCCTTCACCTATGGTAAAGGAAAGTCAACTTTGAAGGATTCAATTTACATGAGATTAAGATTAGGATACAAATATATCTGGCAATACGGAGTTGATGTCAGTGAAAAAGATAAGGATTGTAAATTATGTAGTATGCTGCACGCCCACACCTTAGAACATTATGTATTAGAGTGTCAACTTATTGATAACTATAGAAATAAGGAAATAAGTAATGTACCACATCAAATTGTTTGTATGTGTGATAATGGTATGATAGACAGTATACTTAGGAGCTACAAAAATTTTGCCCCAAGAGTGTAACAATTAGATGCTGTACTTACTATATTAACCTGCAATGTTAAATGGGATTCTTGTAATGTTAATTGTCTATTTGTACTTACTGAATTTGTGCGCCCCTTGAGGGACTTGCAGTAGAGGGGGTAGAAA